AAAGAGCATTGACATATGCAAGGGAATTCGGCCAGCAAAAAAGTGTAGCACATATATCCCCAACCAAAAATTAAGGGGTAAACCTCACTTACCTTTCCAGAAAAGAAAGACAGTGTAAACTGTCGACTCACCCCACAGATTATATTTCAACCAGCATACGTTGGCCTAGATAAATGATTAGCTAGATACTAGCGAAAACGCCTATAAAACGGATGACTTGACCTGAAACCAAGTGGTACATGAGGCAGTGGGTGCAGCTAACAAACAAAAGCGATTTGAAATGGTTCAGATACACACTATCACCCGGCCGAAATCAAAATAGAGTTGTTCGGTGAATGACGATTCTAACTTTGACCATAAAATTCATTAGGGCATGCCTCACGATACAGTTTGATGATTTCCTTAACGCATTTAGTATTCCCTTTCAACGTCTTTCCCTAACTCCCTCTTCAGCTGGAAGTTGGTTTGTCCTCTCCCACAGTAGGCTGTTGCTGATAGTATCCAGCCAGTGAATGTTGGGTATTTTGCGTAAACAACTGTTTATAAATACTTGTAACTTCTTGGCTATGGTTGTCGTAGATCTCAATGTTTCATCACCGTACAGTATGACGGTGTTGACGTTCGTATTGAAGATTCTCACTTTAAAGTTAGTTGAGAGTTGTTTTGAGTTCCTTATGTTCTTCAACCGTGGAAATGCTGCCCTTGCCTTGCCAATCTTCGCCTTTACATCTGCATCACATTAACCTTGTTCATCAGTGATGCTTCCGAGGTACGTGGATGTTTCTACATCTTCCAGAGTTTCTTCATCAAATGTGACTGGGTCGGTGTTTTTCGTCTTGTATTTGAGAATCTTGTCTTTCCGTTTCTTTATGTTGAGGCCCATTGGTGCAGAGGCTGTTGCATTGTCGTCTGTTATACGTCACTGATGTGATAACGAAAGTTCGCTACCTCGTCGATACTGGCGCAGAAGTTAGCGTTCTTCCTGCAAATTCTAACGACCAAACACACGAACCGGCGGCTAATGGAAAGCCAATCACCACATATGGTATAAGGTACGTCTATCAAAACGTGGGTTTACTCGAACCCATTCACTGGATCTTCGCTGTTGCAGATGTTTCTATGCCAATCATTGGTATACACCTTCTTCAACACCACAATCTGCTGATTGAGATGCTCAAACGGAGGCTAATAGATGGATACACTAATGTATCTGTTAGTGTAACTTCTTATTCCGGTTGCAGATTATCTCCAGTTACAGCTAGGCACACGACATACCCATTATGTTTACTAAATAACCCTTCTTGGGATGCATACTGTGAACCAGTAAATGCCGTAAATTGTAGATCATGCCTTTTAAAATGTTGTGTACCTACTACTGCAGAAGTATTATATTATTATTATTGTTTTATCAACAATTACGCGATAGGTTCTTTGGGATATGCCAACTGCAACTGAAACTGCAATGTAATATATCGTATCACGAATACAGGACCACCTATATTATCGAAAGCACGCCTACTGGCTCCCGAAAAGCTGAGGTTGGCCAGAAACGAATTCGACCACATGATAGATGTAGGAATCTTTCGACTGTCAAACGGCATATGGGCATCTCCCTTGCTAGTGGTCCCTAAAATGGACAGCGATGATTGGCATACAACTGGCGACTATCGGCGTTTGAATATGAAAACCATTTCCAATCGATATCCATTGCCTCACATTCACTGTTTGACAACTCCCTTGAAAGTCCTTTCGAAAACTGACTTGGTTAAAGCCTATAACCGAATTCCTATGGCTAATGAAGACGTTCCTGAACTCCATGTTATAACTCCTTTCGGTCTCTGAGAGGTTTGTTAATGCCTTTCGGCATAAGAAATGCTGCCCAGATCTTACAAAGGTTCATAGATGACACTTTTCGAGGTCTCAACTTCGTACATGCGTATGATGATGACTACCTAATAGCAAGTACGGACAGATAATCCCATCTCCATCTGGACATTTTTCTACTGACTGCAAAAGCGTGGCGTTACTGTAAACATTCAGAAATGCCAAATCGGAACCGACTCCTTAGATAGCCCAAGGATACACTATTGTGCCTCAAGGCATCCGAACTCTAAGAAGCAAAGTGATGGCCATTCTGAATTATCCAGAACCGACCACCATTCATCAATTACACATATTTAACAGCCTTGTAAGTTTTTATAGACCGTTCACACTAAAATGAGCGTCCCTTATGAAACCGCTAACCGACGAACTTCGTAGAAATGCGAAATCAAGTGATCTGGATGACACAGCGTCCATCAGCATCGCAGGCGACTCATCCGACTCAGCAGTCGGAGGATTCTTACAGCAATGGATTAACCACTGCTGGCAACCTTTAACATTTTAAAAGAAAACGGTTGCTAGACACTGAATCGAGGCATAGCACATTCGACAGGGAACTCCTAAATATGTATTGTGCTGTACGGCATTTTCAACACTATCAAAGGCCGGGAATTCACCCCTTTTACTGATCATACACCCCTTATTTTCTCTTTAATCTCATATTCAGACGAGTATTTATTTCGTGACTCTCGACAACTGGACTACATTTTGCAGTTTACTTCACATTTACAACACATTTCTGGTGCAAACAATGTAGTTGCTGACTCCTTGCCTCATATAACTTCCTTGAACAGCTTCCAAAAAATCGACCTCATTAAACTCGCCCAGCTTTAAAAAAAGACACTGATCTTCAGCACGAGTTATTCTCAACAACCCTTAAACTGCGCACTAAACAGATGGGAACGGGTAAGGAAACCTTATTCTGCGACACATATACATGTAGGGACCGTTCAATCATACCAAAACAAATGACCCTTAGGCTCTTTCAAAACTCTTGATGCCCGTCTCGACCGTGTTCATCTGGATTTGGTAGGACATTTACCAGATTCAGATAGATTCTCCTACCTCTCAAATTTTGTAGACAGTTTCAGTCGATGTCCAGAAGCAGCACACATTAAGGACCGCATCCGATAGCCATCACTCACGATAATACTTTTTCAGTATTTGAAACTAAACTCAAAACAACGCGTTCTGGAAAAAGAGTAAGGTTTACAGCACGTTTAAACGATTATTGCACGTAAGACACTAATTAACGTTTTGTTTCATCTCGATTTTGTTGTATTATATACAACATAAAAAAAACAATTTTAACATGCTTATATTCATATATTTGTAATTCCCTAAGACCCAGAATTTCTACAAGTATCAATGCTAAATTAAAATTATGGCAGTCTTAGTAACAAGAACAACGGCAAAATAGAGATTTTCACTTGATTGTTTAGATGGAATGTTCGTGACACTATTAAGGGATAAATTCCGCTATGTCAATGTTCATAATAAGTAAACATTGATAATGAAGTCTTACTTAGAAGAGGCACGTTAACAACTCAAGTATTACTAAGTTAATAGTAATGTCAAGAAACATATACTTCATCGCATAAAGTGTTAGATCATGGTAAAGATTTTAGGTTGTCCATCTAGCGTACGGAGGAAGCGTTTCACGCAGCGTTAGGTATTAGGAAAAGCGATTATACTGTGGGCAGTATGATCAATTGATGGGGGTATATAACAGGTCACTAAAAACTAATATCACGTACATTTAGTTCACGTGACAATGGAGTTCACTGATTAGTAACTGGTCAATCCCTCGCGATTTATAACATTTAGATTGGAGACCTCCATGACTATATCCCCCTGAACAGTTTTCACAATGATTTGTTCCAAGGGTTTCTTACCATGTAGTTGCTATATAAAAATCCTCCTGCTGATTACCATACTTAAGTTTGTTGGAGGTATTCATCAAGAATCTGATCGAATACCACTGAAAATCATATGTCCGCGAGTAGCTACTTCTACTCAGAATGAGACTCTTAACCAACATGTATTTGCTACTCTGCAGGGAAGCCTTGGACCACAGAGCTACAACCCAATAAGTCATACTTACAACTCTAAGTAACTTGAGATACACTTCAGGGACTATCCGACGCTATCGACAGAGGCTTTCTTACACGCAAAACGGTATAACACCACCAACCATCGCTTCCCATTGGAATCTGTCTTCACAGTAAGCCACTGATTAGAAGATTTCGAGGGTTCAACTAAATTTGTTTTCAAATGTCTTTCGTTATGAATTGATATCAATGAATGCATCATTGTTAACTAGGGTCTAATTCACAGCTGAGTCGGGATAAGACCGAAAGTTCTTACAATTCTGTGCAGGAGATCACTTACATACGCCAGTGTTACATCAAACGTTCGTGGGACTAATTGTTCTTTATGAACATTTCCAACTAGAATATATAATCTTGCTCCTGCTTTTAAAAACTAATAACTTTAAAGTTTTCGATTTGAAATTCTATAAAACAATACATCCCCACGCGTATATAGCTTCTGCCAGAGAAGTTCTACTCACTGCCTTCTCGTGATACCGATGTTGTTTTCGAAGTTGAGAAGACGAAAAGAGATTGTCCGGCGCTTTAACCGGGTTGGTGGATATGGAAAGTCCACCTAGGGGAGTTGGAAAACCCTGATTCCAAACCAATGGTGAACATGGGCTCCAGTATCCTGAGGGAACAAATGGCGTATGAATCAATCATTGGTCGCCCGCTACCATGGGACTGAATTTTTTCACGATGCTCTACTGCCTTGTGGATCAAATCTTTAGATCAAAGGTTCGGAGTACGGCCTCCTCAGAAGACCACCTGTTTCGGTTTGTTTACCTGGGCAGTATCGTAGCCCTTACACAAATCAAATGAGATTTGTGTGGCACATATATATCTGGTGTCCCTTTTGTACCAATATTTATGTGTTTAAATAACTAAATAATCCTCACAAGATAGACTGAAAAAAGAAAGCTCCTTATCAGAAATTCTTATAATGAAACCCATTGAATTATTATGAAAATATTTATTTATATAAATCATAATTATGTACAAATAACAATCATAAATTACATCCCATTAAAATGATTCTGATTCACGTATATCTGTAACAAGTTTCATGACAATTGCTTTAAAATTACAATCAAATTCATGGTTAGTAATTATTTCATTTATTAAATGTTTACGCATAAATATTCGACAATTACGACAAAGTCTTGTATAAATTGATAATTGCATAAATTTAGATAAAACAGTTTGATATTCACCCGTACATAATTCCATAATTGTATATTGTAAAAAGGCAATATTACCTTTACTGCTATCACCAAAATTATAATTCTAATTAAAAAAAAAAAATAAGAAAACATTTAATTGAGTAATGATTATAAAAAAACTGTTATATTCTAGTGAAGACATAAATATGGGTAACTTCCTGGACCTATTAATGGACTATTATTCTATATATATTCTTATTGTTTAACTATTTACTAATTAGATTATGTATATAAGCTTCATTTTCATCTATGAATTATTATTATACGATTTACTGTCCCTAAATTATATTCAGTTTATTGATTATTGTATCACATCTTCACAGCCACATCAGGTTTGATCTTGTACAAATATTATTTCACATTTTATGGTGTGATGTAATCTGTCTATCTGTCTGGTATATAAACCGACTATGTTTGAAATAAATGATTCGCATAATAGAAGCTGCAACTGTTGTTCTGGACTCAATTAGAAGGTCTAAACGGACAAGGGACCAATAAAGACGCTAGGTTACTCATACTGATCGAACGTCAATGATTGTCATAGTGTTAAGGTCGGAGAAGTCGTATTTACATTGGTGGATAAATCACATGATAAAAGTCGGACATAAGACTACAACAAATTGGCATACGGCCCTTTCTAAATACATAACAAAAACAGGATATAGACTAAGGGGAAGTCAACTTCATAGTTAGAAACTTATACTTTTATATTAAGGCTCAAACAATTACATATATATTCCGATAAGAGTTTGTTAAGATTATTCAATGTTCAATAGTTACATAATTGACTGATCTTAGTTAAAACAAAAAAAAACCCATTATAGACCAAGAAATATTGGAAAACTGTATTCATGTCCCTCTTATTATATGCTTTATTTTGACTTATAGACTATTATTATACGATTTACCATTTCTGAATTTTACCCTGTCTATCACTTACTATCTCCCTTATTCACAGTTACAATTGGCTAAATCTTGTACAAATGTTATTTTCTATTTTATTGGTATGATGTGGTCTGTTTGTTTGGTATATAAACTCAGTATGTTTGAAATATAGTGATTTATACCGCAGAGGTTGTTCCGGACTTAATTGGTTGGGCTAAGCAGAAAGTGAAACCGACAATTACTCTAGATTATTCGTACGGGTTTTATACATCATTGGTCAGATCGATAAATCGCTGCTCTGTAATTGGTGCTATTATCATATTAGACATTAACAGGGCATCTAGGCGGTCATAAGTTATAACAAATATCAATCAAACTTCCAAATGTGACTAGATACAGTTGATATCTAACAGTTAAATAAAATGATATTCATTATTGATAAATAATCAAAACATTCAAACGAAATACTGTGATAAGTGTACACATTTACTAATCAAAATCTTTAGGATAAAATTAAGTAGATATATGTATATAGGTAATATTGTTTTCAAACAATGTGATGAAGTAAACAAAAACTAAGACCCATAATTTTTTCTGGTCAGCGATTTTTTTAGAGAGTCAGTTTTTTACGGGATGGGGTCGCTAATCCCATGCCCAACCCTCCTCCTTTACCCGAGCTAGGCACCGGCAGCAATTTTAAAAGAGCTACAGCTGAAATTCAAAGCAAGTGTCAACTAATTTCAAAGTGAGAATCTTCAATACGAACGTCAACACCGTCATACTGTACGGAGCTGAAACGTGGAGAACTACTACGACCATCATCAGGAAGGTAAAAGTATTTATAAACAGTTGTCTACGCAAAATACTCAACACCCACTGGCCGGATACCATCAGCAACAGCGTTTTATGAGAGAGGACAAACCAGCTTCCAGTTGAAGAGGAAATTAGGAAAAAACGCTGGAAGTGGATAGATCATACATTAAGGAAATCACCAATGTGCATTATAAGGCAATCCTGAAGGGAAGCGGAAAAGAGGAAGGTCAAATTACACATTACACCGAGAAATAGAAACAAATATGAAAAGAATGAATGTTAACTGGAAAGGATTGCCTAGTACAGGGTTAGATGGAGAATAATTGTGTGCGGCCTATGCTCCTTCTCCACGAGGGGTAACAGGCGTAAGTAAATAAATAAAACCCATCATTCTGTAAGATATTGAAAAGAGTTACTTTCATGTATTGTGTTGTTTGTCGTAAAAGAAAAACAAAACAAAGAGCATATAGAACACAATAAAAATAAATAAACCTCACCTTTAATACAGTTAATGGGAAATTATATACAAGACAAAGTAAACCTAATGCTCGACCAGCATTAGATTTAGCTTCAATTGTTAAATTATTATTATTTAAAATATCCCAAAATCCACACTTGATCATCATCTAAAATAAAATAAAAATAAAATTTTCATTGTGAAATACCTTGAATAATAATAATTTGTCAGAAGTTTCTCTTTTATTTATCTACACAAATAATGTACTCTAACTTTAACAGATGGACAGTATACTACTGATGTCGATAGATATAAGTAGTATGTATCATCAATAGAAAGTGAAATATCTGGTAATAGAAGGTTAAGAAAATCAAAGACAACATAACAAAGAATGATTGGTATAGAACTGAAAGAACAATTAATTCTGAGATGATTGACTGATATTTACAAAAAGGAACAGTCAACTTTGTATAGTTCTTAGATTTGACCAAGATATTCTGTAATTTTCTGTTTAAATACATTCGATTGTCCCCATTTGTGTTCTCATTCACTACACTACTACACCTTATACAATTAGTATAATTCAAAGTAAAGTATATGGATTTGGGTACAGTCAGGATCTCCAACATACACGTTAAATCAGTTCTACTGTACGGAGCTGAAACTTGGAGAACTATTATAATCATCATCCAAAAAATACAAGTATTTATAAATAATTGTCTAAGCACGATAATGAAGAACCGTTAGCTGGACATTATCAGTAACAACCTACTGTGGTAGAGAATAAACTAGATTTCAGCTGAAGAGGAAATTAGGAAAGAAGGCTGAAGGTGGATAAGACACACACTGCAGAAATTATAAAGCTGTATCACAAGGGAAGCCTTGACTTGGAATTCTCAGGGGAAAAGGAGAAGAGGTATAAAAAATAACATTGAACTGGGAACTGGAGGCAAAACATCAAAAGAATGAATAGCGCTTGTAAACAACTGAAAAGTAGGGCACAGGAGAGAGTTGGTTAGAGAATCCTAGTCGGCACCCTATGTTCCACAATGGGTGGTAAGCGTAAATAAGTGTACTGATAATAAACTGTATGATAATAATGACAATAATAACTATTATTATTGCTATAAGAACATCGGAAAGCACAACGTAGATAACATCTAGTCTTCTGACATTTGCTATTATATATATGACCTAATAAATTAGGCGGTACAGGAACTTATCAATTAGAAACACATCAATCAGTCATAATCAAATGATTAAAAACGACACAATTTATCCCCCTTACTTACCAAAAATCGTCGATGACAATTTAGAATACCACCTAATACACGTGGATAAAAACGATTGAAAGGCATTTCAGACATAACACAATGCAATAAAATATGAATCATTTCCCTCTCTCTACCGGCTATACTTCCTGCTCCAAGTTGAACACCTGGTGAATTAGCAGAAGTATGACAAGCTTTAAGTAAAGCTGAAGCTGTAGCATCTGGACCACCAGGAGTAGAAACTAAAATACTAAATGTTAATTGACGTGATGCTGTACGTAGGCCAAGTTTTTCTGCAACGGCTACCATCTAAAATCAAAGTAAATTTATGTGGAAAGTTTAATAGGATTTTGTAAAGGTCCATTGATGGCGGATGAGGCAATAGAATTGCCAAATATTAGCAAATTAAATTATTCATGTCAAATATAAATCTAGGGAAGATTGGAATGGATGCTTATTGGTGAAAGCACTGAGATTTCCGTCACTAGGTCACGAGTTCAGCTCCCGCTTTATTTACTTTATTGTGTACAACTGTGTAATATCACTAGACCTCAAACCAAAAATCCGTTTCAAAGGCGAGTACATAAACTTGTACTTGATAAGTGAGTGACCTTATATTCATTGTAAATCTTGATTACTGACTTCACAAAACAATTAAATGAAGAAGTAAATGAACTTGAAGATAATAGATTCATGTACTAACTCTCTAGTAAACTTTTTTTAATCCACTCATAAACACATTATGTCGGGAAATAGAAGCAGATATGAAAAAGATGAATTTTAACTGGGAAGAACTGGAAAGGATTGCCCAGGACAGAGTTGGATGGAGAATGCTGGTGAGCGGCCAATGTTCCTCCTGCACGAGGGGTAACAGGCGTAAGTAAGTAAAAGTAAATCATAAACATCGACATAAAGTTTTGTTCCCTCTTCTATGGGTATGAAATGTGCGAATGTTTCTTCGAAAAAAATTGAGATATCTTTGAGAATAACCTGTTCAAAAGGCTAGATCACAGTCTTACACGAGAGATTGAAAATTTAGAAGATGGGGATCGAAAAAACTGTTTTGGCTAATACACATGGCCACGAGTATATAGCCACTGACAGGGAAGTCCTACTCATTTCCTTTTCGCATCAGAGGTGTCGTTTACGAAATTGAGAGGATGAAAAGCGAATGTCCGAAGCTATAACCGGGTCGGTGGATATGGAAAGTCCACCTAGGGGAGTTGGAAAACCCTGATTCCAAACCAATGGTGTACATGGGCTCCAGTATCCTGATGTAACAAATGGCGTATGAATCAATCATTGGTCACAGGCTAACATGGGACTGCATTTTCTTACGATGCTCCACTGCCTTGTGGATCAGACCTTTAAGTCGAAGGCTTGGGGTGTGGTCCCCTAAGGAAAGCACGTGCTTCAGTTTGGCCACCGGGGCAGTATGGTGACTTGTGCTAACAATACTTGAACAGTTTTTGGAAACTATTGTATTTCCCAACACAATCCTGTCATCGAAAATCAAGAAAATATTGACTTTATTGATTAGTAAATATCAAGATAAAAACCAACAAAAACTCAACCCTCATACTTCAGGATTTAAAGATGAATTAGATTTTTCATCATCTTTTGATTTTACAGCTGACAAATCATTCAGTGGTCGATTTACTGCTGAGCCAACTAACCACCAACGACCAGTAGATGAAGCATTGAGTAAATCCATTAATCCAACAGTTAAACACATATCATCAGTAACAGACAATCCTATGAAATATAAAAATATAGAAATTGATACATAATTTAATGCGATACAATTTATTTTCATCGCAATTTTGAAAGAATGATTTTATTTATATATTTAAATACATAAATATTGGTACAAAGAGGTACCAGATACATATGCGCCATACAAATCTCATTTGATTTGTGTGAGGGCCCAAAACGAAGCAGGTGGTTTTCTTAGGGGACCACACCCGAAGCCCTCAAACTAAAAATTTGATCCACAAGGCAGTGGAGCAATGTGAGGAGATGCAGTCCCATGATAGTCGGCGACCAACGATTGGTTCATACTCCATTTGTTCCTTTAGGATAATGGAGCCCATGTGCACTATTGGTTTGGAATCAGGGTTTTCCAACTCCCGTAGGTGGAATTTACGTGTCCAGTAACCCGGTTAAAGCGTCGGACATTCGCTTTTCGCCCTCTCAATTCCGTAAACAACAGTGATGCCACGAGAAGGCAGTGAGTAGGAATTCCCTGGCAGAGGCTGTATACGCGTGGCCATGTGAGAGCGTTTGGAGAGCGAGGGCGAGCCCTCCCCACTGTTGGCCGTAACAGGGCATTTTTTTGAAGAAATGAAATGACAAACAAAATGAGTAAAGGAAATTATTGAACGCTTTAACCACATTCAAGCACTATACACACTATAATCTTAAACTAGAATCTAGCTATCAAGAAAAAAACTTAACCTCTGAATTATATATGTTATATCCTAATGAGAAATAAATGAATGGTAACTGCTCGGAATCTTTCACGAACTATCATTACATATATTCTTAGTGGATAACTATTATATTATATTATTATATGTATATTATATGTATATTCATATTCCTTTTATTATATGCTTCCATTTGACCTATTGGCTACTATTAAACGATTTACTATTCTTAAGTTATTCCCAATATATTAGTTATAATTTTTCATACTCACAGCCACTTTCGACTTGATCCTATCTAACTGTCATTTTTTCCATCTAATGGTGTGATGCGGTCTGATTTGCTTGTATACAAGCTGCGTATGTCTGAAATACATGATTTATTCAGTGGAAGCTGATTTTGTGTTCTGGACTCAAACGGACAGGGCTAGATGAGAAGAATAAATAAGGACTCAGAGTTGACTCTGGGTTGTTCGTAATCGTTAACGCGTCACTGGTTTGACACAATAGCAAAGTCGTATAAATTGGTGTTCTAATTGGCGATCTTATGACGTAATAATTAACGGGGTATAACTTCCTTATATACATATATATATATATATATATATATATATATATATATACACGAATTTTTAAACTTGGGTCCCATTGAAGCAAAAGAGAAACCTGATCCATTCTCTGTGCATAGAAACCAAACAAATCTGTGTCAATAATCAATATGAAACTTGATAAAGTACGACAGATACTGATCAGCGATGAATATCCACCTAGATTCATTGAGGAAAATCTGAATTTAAAACTACAAAAGTAAAAAGAACCGATGGCCGCTAAAAAACCTCTTTATGAGAATCCCTTTTCATATTATCTTTTACAAATATTAATTATCCACTATCAAATCTTTTAATTGTTCTGCTTCTAATATCTACAAAGTGGACAGCTATCTGCATCTTGCCATTACTTCATTAGCCATTCAGTTGTTACATAACTTTCTTCCAACATATGATTTTCATAAACAATCTATGACACAATATCACTCCGACTTTTAATGACTCAATTTTATTTTAACGTAAATTAGTATTTTCAACAAATAAATTAACTATAAATACGACTGTATAGCTTAAATAAATGAAATCATTAAAAAGCAAATTTTCTCCACTGAATCCCATCTATTCTACTTCAATGTTAATTTTATCGCATCTTAACAACTTTAAAGTAGTAACCAAGTGATGTGTGTGCAAGGAAAATAATGATTGGTTTTTTTTTGCTTAGTCAAACTTGTAGATAGTCTGACAGGTAGTAGATGAGTTATATATTCTCCTCTTACTCTTATTATTACTGTGATTGTTTACGGTTTTTGGTGTGGAAATATACCTACGTTCTAGTCAGGGTAGTCACGTGTTCTTGATCTGAGTTGTGTTGTCCTGTGGAATAGACACTTGGAAGATATCTAGTATAGATATTCATCTAAGACAAATCAGTGTTCTATTCGTGTAGGCGAGAAAGACGAGCGTTATAAAATCAAGTATAAGTTTGTACACTCCCCGCTCTATTTCACTAATTTAATGTAAAAGCCAGTGAAACACTATCCGTTTTGGTCTACATTTAATCTGACATCAAGATGTTAAGGATTTATCTTTTTAGTCTAGAACATTTATCAAGTGGGGATTCAAATCTTAATCTTTAAGCAACGAAGATGTAAAAGATTTTATCATTGATTTATTTGTTTCTACGATTATTTCATATAAAAAGAATGATTAGGTAAATGATTTGAAAGTACTATAACACATAGAAATATAAATGAAATACAAACACAAAGACAAATATGTACGTTACCTTTAGTCCATACCCTCATAAGTTTTTGTAAATGTAATGATCGTGTAACACATTCCTCCATAGAACGTTTCTCTGAAAGACGTTGAATCAAACCCTCCAATTCAAATCTGAATAAGAAAAATAGGAAGACTATATTATTTCTAACTCCGCCTGTAGCTCTTCTAGACTTAATGCCGGTACCAAGGCCGGGTAAAGGAGGAGGGTTGGGCATGGGGTAGAAAAACTAACTCGCTAAAAAAACGCTAACCACAAAAAATAATTCAAACCATTTCAGTCAGTCAGTCAGCTACAACGTAGGACCAGGCACATTTATGCATCGGTCCAAGTTGCCGTACCTCTTTAGCACATCAAGATGAACACCGGATTCATAGAAGTAATTAATTTAGTGGTGGTAGTACATAAGGAAAGGTTGTATATAAGGATATAGTATAGGAAGGAAAAAAGTTATGAAACAATTTTAATCTCAAGGTTTAAGGGAAGATAAAGAGTGTATACACCTACGCCATTGTGATCGATTCTGAGCCATGTCACCCACAGTCTCCAACCACTTATTACGATAGTCACGCGGACCCCAACCAGGTAGTCTGCATCTGCCAACATGGCTCAGGCTAGAAGTTAGTGACTTCAAACACTGATGCCATGTTTTGGTTTGGCCGCCCCTAACTCTCTTCCAACCGTTCCCAATACTAGTCATCATAGCGCGTCGTGGTAATCGGTGTTCAGGCATACGTAACACATGGCCCAACCATCTCAGTCGATGAAGATTTATCACCTCATCAACTGATTTACCATCGTTACCTAATACCCTGCGTCTAACCTCACTATTACTTACTCGGTGATCCCAGCAGATGCGAGCCCTAGGAGTTGAAGGAATAGAAGCAGATACGAAAAGGATGAATAACAACTGGAAAGGCCCAGGACAAAGTTGGATGAAGAACACAGGTGAGCGGCCTATGCTCCTCCTCCACGAGGGGTAACAGGTGTAAGAAAGTAATATTATTTCTGGTTTCGGAAAAATATGAGAGAAGAGAAAATTACTGTTTGACGTACGCTATTTCAAAGTTTTGTAATTTATGCTTTTCAAGTTCAGCATTTGCTTGTTGAATAATTTCTTGACATACATTCAAATTAAATTTTCGTAGATTAACACCAACCGCTAAAAAATAATGATGATACAAAAGGAATATAATAATCAAGTGTAAATAAAACGTGATGATAACTGTTACAAGCATATTTACACTGATTAATTAGTGAGTAGTAAACAATGTTATGTTTTTTTCATAGTTGCAAGGGTGAGTCAATTGAAGCTAGACCACCATGGAAAACATGGAAGCACTGGACGACAGCCTCGTCTTATTATGGGACTCCACAGCAGTGCGAATCCACAATCCCGCCTTGCGAGATTCGAACCCAAGACCTACCAGTCTCGCGCCAGAGCACTTAACCGATAGACCACTGAGCCGGCATCCCATGGTGTTTATGTCTAACTCCAACCAATCCACGAAGTTGAGCGACCGTTCACCAATTGTCTTCAGTGAGTTGATATCTCACAACAGACGTGGTTTGAAGTCCACTGGTCACTGCTTCTCACTAGGACTCCAGGATATACCTCTTGAAGCCAGTCACTAGTGAGCATATGATTATTATTAATATTATTATTTTCCTTGATGGTCTAGCTTCAATTGACTCACGCTTGCAACTATGAAAATATTAAATCTCCAGAAAACCCTTTCCGATAATGTTATGTTTATATGGCCAATTTGATAAATTGAATGCTATTGATAAAATTATGTGACCACTAGTCTAAGTGACTCGATGATGATTGTAATACATTAAAACGTTAGATGGTTGGAGGTTGTCAGTAAAAAAACCCTGAACCTAGGTTTTGTATCATTTGGACTTCATCAGTAAGTTATATCTACAATCTTGAGGAAACTGATGGTCCCCATGGAATTCGAACGTGTTCCACCTAGCGTTACAATGAGACGTTATCAATGGACCATTCTGGACATGTGGAATATTAGTTCCCTCAAAATACGCTTTGTTGGTTAGTGTTAACCAGTATGAAACTTAGGTTCATAGGTTTTTTTTCAAATACCTTCGATGATCTAACATAGTAAGATTAACATAAAACAGCTTCAGCTTGGTTTTGTTATTTTGTTTCATCATTTCACAATATTGGCTATTATTTTAAACGATTAGATGACTTGAAAGCTTTACACAGAAAGCATTTTTGTTGGGCTCTAAACTAACAATGATACTTATTCGATTAGATAGAATATGACTATTACGGAGCCAATTGATACTCAAAGAACAGGGAAAAACTCATGTATGTATACTTCAAATGATATACAACACAGTACGCTGAATGGAAAGAGAAGATAGGTCTTTGACAAAGAACTAACCTTTAGTTCTTGAACCATGTACCAAATACTGGTAGGCATACTTGGGTTTTTTATACACAGTGAGTGGGATTAAGTGATAATACATTCCTGCCCAAATCGAAGTAGATGAGCTTGGGTTTAAAATCAAGATACTATGGTTGAAAGTCAGTTGCTTCAAATTGAGCCACAGCTCCAAATAGCGATAAATAAATACTTTATCCCTAATCTTTTAACGCATTACTTGTTTTAATGGCTATTTATAAAAACACAAACTACATCCGGTAAATACCAATATTATTTGGAAGGCATCTAGTATTTTGTATACGAGACAATGATTTACATCAATCTCTTGCCAATTAACCATACTACCTAACAGACTAAGACTGAATAGGCTCTATATTACGATGACCGATAACTGCATTTTATAAAATTGCAACTTACCAATTGTAATGAAATGGGCAGCTTTCACTTTTCCGATATCGCAATCACGTAAATACGCTTTCAAAATATCTAAAATAAGAGTACCTGAGATCACCTGAAAATATAATTGACAAACGAAAATGAGTGAGTTTGAGAAAATTGTTATTAGATGGAAAGCTTATTGAAGAACTGAGAACAATGAACTAGTTAACTGTTTTATCCTAGTTTTAGACTCCTTAACAATGCGTGAATATTAGTCGATATGCTTGCAGGAGAGTTGTTGTGAATGAGCTGCATTAACGAACCACAAAATAAGATGAAACAACTAGCTGTCTTGTGCTTTTTATTTATTTAAACACATGAATATTGGTACAAAGGGGCACCAGATAAATATGCGCCTCACAAATCTCATTTGATTTGTGTGAGGGCTGTGATACTGCACAGGTGCCCAAACTGAAACAGGTGTTTTTCTTAGCGGACTATACCCTAAGCCTTTGACCGAAAGGTCTAATCCACAAGGCAGTGGAGCATCGTGAGGAGATGCAATCCCATGGTAGCCGGTGACCAACGATTGGCTCATACGCCATTCGTCCCTTCAGGATAATGGAGCCCATGTGCACTACTGGTTTGGAATCAGAATTTTCCAACTTCCCTAGGTGGACGCGCGGTGTCCATCAACGCTCTTAAAGAGCTGGGCATTCGCTTTTCGTCCTCTCTATTTCGTGAACAACACCCCTGCCACGAAAAGGCAGTGAGTAGGACTTCCATGACAGAGGCTATATACGCATGGCCGTGTAAGAGCATTTCGAGAGCGTGGGTGAGCCCCCCCCCCGCCACTTTCGGCCGTACCAAGGTATTTGGAGGCCTTATGCTCTTTAGTTTTCGATCGTTCCACTTACCACCCACCCCACACCTCATGCTAGCAACAATAATGATATAAAAACAGACTACTAAATCAAAAACTAAATTATCATTCAATCCATTTTTATAACTATAAAATAAAAACAATCAATAAATTACTTACTCCAAAACGATATAAATAAGCTAAAAATATTGAATATGTACAAATTCCATTTGATGATAATTGTACTTGATTATTGTTACCAGGGTATAGTCGAAATATAATAAATTCAACCAAATAACCAATCAAAGAGATTGATTGAAATAAAGAATGTAATGTTATATGAATACAAGTAATACATATAGCTAATTCTTGATGTAACCAACCAAGTTTAGTATTACGATTTAATTGAGTACACTAAAGAATATATCAGAAAATATGAGAGAAATATCAAAGCATACTTCAATTAAATTACAAACTTCTTCAATAAAATATGATCGTACTAATGCACGTGGATATTGATGAAATAAATTACAAAGTTCCATGATAATTTTTGACATTTGTGATTCAGATAAACGATTTAATAAACTACGTATAGATTTACATAAATTTTCATTGATATCATCATGATGATGATCATTTAACATTGGATCATTGATTTGATCTAATTGAATAGATTGATCTGTATAGGTGATCGGTTCATTTAATAATGAATCAACTGTACACATACAAAACAATTAGAAAATCAATATAAAAACTAACCAGTTGAATGTTGATCATCATGATCAGTAATTGATCTACTATTATTATTATTATTATTATTATTATTATTATTATTAGTAGTAGTAGTAGTAGTAGTAGCAGTAGTAGTATTTTGACCATATAAATCAACTGGTTTACTCTCTAAAATAGATTGGGTTATTATATAACTTTAACACGAATACTTTTCTTTGAAGATACACCAATAGTAGTACATAGAACATTATTATTACTATCCATATTATCTTTTTCAATATTGATCTGTTTCTCAAAATTTAATATATCTAAAGTATAAATATGTGGTTAACAACAAAACAACAAGTAAACTGTACAATCGAATCCACATTGTGTTAACCATAATGGAGTTTTTTCTTTTTTCTGTTTACTTTTTATAGAAGTACGATTCATTTTCAACTTTTTTGATAATTGTTTAAGAATTTTTTCTTCTTTTTCATTATCTTCAAGTAAATGTTGTTTACGTAGTTCAGTGTAATTTAATTTCCTATAAAAGTTAATATGATTGAATATTAGTGTACTTTTTTTTAAAACAGAAAATTTTGATAATAACATAATAAACTTACTTGTTTACAATGGTTGGAAGAGAGTTAGGGGGGGGGTCAAACCAAAACATGGCATCAGAGCTTGAAGTCACTAACTTTTAGTCTGAGCCATGTTGATAGATGCAGACTACTTGGTTAGGGTCCGCGTGACTATCGTAACCAATGGTTGGAGACTCTAGATGACATGGCTCAGAAACCATCCCTTAAACTCTGAGATTAAAATTGCTTCATATCTGTCTGTATTATATTCTTATATACAACCTTCCTTTTATATATTACCACCACTAAATTAACTACTTCTATGAATCCGGTATTCATCTTGTTGTGCTAACGAGGTAAGGCAACTTGGACCGATGCATATATGTACCTGGTCCTACGTTGTAGCTAACTGACTGACTGACTTGTTTACGACAGAAGTATAGGTTTAAGCAATGATTTTTAGGTGGAAAATAAGTCATTGATATAATGGTAATCATTTTCACAACTGATTAGTCACTGTGTGGTGATCAATGCCATGCGTGTCAAGTCCTTCTTAATGCTGATCGAATGCTATCGATCAAGTTGCAATGTCGCCACTAGTCTAGGTGGCTCGACACTGCGTGCACTATGTTGAGATAAGATGGTGGTTAGAGGTGGTCAATAGGAAACCCTGGACCCGAGTTTCGTGCTACTTGACACTCGTCAGCAAGATGTACTTGTAATCTTTGTGGAACCGATGCTCCCTGGAGGATTCGATCCCGTGTCACCTACCCTCACAGTCAGAGACGTTACCACTGAGCTATGCGGGCCACGACCGACCTCCTGTAGGATTGAGATGTAATCACAATTGATTGATCACTGGGTGGTGATCAATCTCATGCGTGTCAAGTCCTTCCTTTCTTACGTCATAACTCCGCCTGTAGCTCTTCCAGGGTTACTGCCTGTCTCATGCCCGGGTAAAGGAAGAGGATCGGACATGGGGTCAGCAACCCTATCCCGCAGAAAACAACCTTGCAGAAAAACGCTAACCAGGACATGCTGGTAGGCGGCCTATGCTCATCTACGAGGGGTAACAGGCATAAGTAAAAGGTAAAGTAAGCCGGTCATCATCAATAAAGAAGCTAGCACACAAGTGCGATGGTGTGCATTGCCATACTACATTATTATGATGGGGCGAATATAACAAGTTGAGTTACAAAAAAAGATCGAAATAATGTAGCGGTAATCATAATAAGAAAGACTAAACAATGGGGAATATATAGGTATCATTACCAAGTCTTGATTTGATAATTTTGAATAAATTATTTAAAAATGGGGAATATAGTTCAAAAAGTTAGTGTAAAGGTATATGTGATCGAGAGGATGATAAACAAAAGGACGTATCTGCGCTATTGTGAAGAATTTTGGGTCATTTTAGCCAGAACTACCAACTACTGGTCACAAATATCGCGCAAACCCTAACCAGATAATCTGTATCTATTAATGTGGATTGAATCAACAGTTGACCAGTCAGTCAGTTACAACGTAGATCTTCGTACGTACGTACATCAGTTCGAGTTGCCATACCACATTAGCACAGAGATTCAGTTGTCGATTCAAATCCTATAATGGTAGAAGTAGTAAGAGTATAAGCAGTAATCGGAAAGATTAAGGTTTGAAGATGTTATTGAAGGAGTATAATACAATGAAATAAATTTGGAAAGAGAAAAAGGATACAGACATGAAGAATTCAGATTAGAATTTGGTAGAACACAAAGAGTGGATGCACCTTCGCCATTGCAAACGATTTTGAGCCATGTCATTCAAGGTCTCAAACCATCGGTTGCTATCATCTCGCGAATCCCAACCAGGTAGTCTACACCTACCAACATGGCCCAGTCCACTTGTCAATGACTTCATGGATTTATGCCATGTTTTGGTCTGGCCGCCCCTAGCTTTCTTCCAATCTGCTTCTACACCATAAAACATTGCACGTCGGGGCAGTCGGTGGTTGGGCATACGTAACACATGTCCCAGCCATCTCAACTGGTGAAGTTTCACTACTTCATCAATCGATTTGCCATCCCTACCTAGTACTCGTTTCCTAACAACTGCATTACTTACCCGGTGGTCCCAGGATATACGAGCAATGCGTCGAAGACACCTATGATCAAACACTAGTAGCCTACGAATATCCTCTACTCTTATCGGCCATGTTTCACTGCCATAAAGTAGGACGGAACGGACTGCTGCACAGTAAACCCGTCCTTTGGTTGCTAGACGGATATCTCGTCTACGCCATAAATGGCGCAAGTTGGCGAAAGTTAGACGAGCCTTCTGTATCCGTGCTGAGATTTCGTCACATACCAGACCACAAGGGCTGATGAGACTCCCAAGATAAGTGAAGCTGTCAACACGCTCAACTACTTCACTCCTTATCGTTAGTTCAGGTGTCGATGCAACCCCATCCTAAAGTAACATTTTGCACTTCGAGGGAGAGAATCGCATCCCGAACATGCCTGCATTGTTGCTTATAGTGGTCAGAAGACTCTGCATTTTGTCAAAGTCTTCACCGAGTAAAACTATGTCGTCGGCGCATTCTAAGTCAACAAGTGGGCCTCCTGGTAAAAGTTCAACTCCAGGAGGCCCACAGTTGACCAATCTACTAATAATCTATTTCGGTCATTAAGAACTGTATTCTGAAGGTTCTACTCATTATACACACGTATGTTAACATTCAATAATGGTTCAATACAGTTATTTCATTATATTATACAGGGTAGTAAGGATTTCACCAAATAAAATCATCGAAAAAGAAGCATTCTTATTTATAAGTGAGTCATTTGTGATCTTTAAATATTTAGAACCATTCTTTATTGACTTACTTTTTCTTTGACTTCGTCATATTTCTGAAAAGAAAATAACAATTTTTAGGATAAAATTACACTTTCAAATTTTCTAAAACATTTGCTAGGTACAGATATTCATGTACTTGGCCTTGAGGCATAGCTCAAATATGAGGGCTACTGATACGACTCAGCTGTAAAATCCGAAGTAGGTGGAGCGGAATTCAGACCTTAGACTCGGTGGCTGAAAGTTGAGTTCTCTAACAACTGGCAAGCTTTTAAAACACTGAGTTCTTTAGTAGGATAAGATGCTTATGAATGCTGTTCAATCAGAAGATAGCTGACACAGCGCCAAAAACACGGAGAACTAGACGGGTATTTTGTTATACATGACCCCCATACACACAATATTGACGAAGCGAATGAAATTAGAAGTGTAACCTGAATGCAAATGTTTAAAGAAAGGTCATGCGTTAGGTCATTATTCACAGTAGGTTGTTTAGCGCGTTTTGTAACAGCACTTACAACACTGACACAGTCTTCACTGTCAGTACTTGCGTTACTAGCGCACCCACTATCGTTCTTTTTACAGGCTAGAGCCAATAGGCTCATAGTCTCCTGGATCAATATCGTCTTGTTAGTACAGCAGAACATACAAAGCCAGTGCGAATTAGGCCTACAGAATATTTTGTATGCAGCTGGACTGAGACGGGTACACATCTTGTGGAACCACTTTCTGCATTCATCACACTGCATCCCTTCATCTACGGGGAATAAACAGTTCGGCTGTCCACATTTGAATGCACTGCCAATCATTGTAATCAGATTAAGGTTAAAACGAAATATGATCACAATAATAACACAAATGTCAGAGTATATGCAAAAGAAGGTACCACGGGACAAAGTTTTCAACGAAATTTAAAACCTTAACTGAAATAATTCAAGTTAAAGTAGACTAAGAATGCTTTTGATACAACAAATACACAAAAGCAACGATAATCACAACAAGTACGAAAATCACTGCCCTTTTTGAAACGCGCGCGTGGACCAATGATGTTGATGTACAGTCGGTTCACAGAGAATTTTAGAAAAGACTTGACAATTAAGCGCCTACAACAAATCAAACTACTAAGAAGTTGCTGTATTAGTACTTTCGAGTATTAAATGACTCGTAGACCCTGTGCAGACTACCGTGATTTTGTCCTTCGATGTAATATATGTTGAAGGAAGACGTTTGCTAGAGTAGGAACGTTTATCACTCGATCCAGGTCAGTCAGTCAGCGACAAAGACAACGTAGGACCAGGCACATTTATGCATCGGTCCAAGTTGCCATACCTCGTTAGCACAACAAGATGAACACCGGATTCATAGAAGTAATTAATTTAGTGGTGGTAGTATATAAAGAAAGGTTGTATATAAGGATATAGTATAGGAAGGAAAAAAGTTATGAAACAATTTTAATCTCAAGGTTTAAGGGAAGATAAAGAGTGTATACATCTACGCCATTGTGATCGATTCTGAGCCATGTCACCCACAGTCTCCAACCATTGGTTACGATAGTCACGTGGACCCCAACCAGGTAGTCTGCATTTAACAATATGGCTCAGACTAGAAGTTAGTGACTTCAAACACTGATGCCATGTTTTGGTTTGGCCGCCCCTAACTCTCTTCCAACAATCCCCTACACTAGTCATCATAGCGCGTCATGGTAATCGGTGTTCAGGCATACGTAACACGTGGCCCAACCATCTCAGTTGATGAAGATTCATGATCTCATCAACTGATTTACCATCATTCCCTAATACCCTGCGTCTAACCTCACTATTACTTACCCGGTGATCACAGCATATGCGAGCAATATTTCTAAGGCATCTGTGGTCAAATACTAGTAACCTACAAGTGTCTTCTACTCTTAATGGCCATGTTTCACAGCCGTAAAGTAGAACAGAGTAAACTGCTTCGCAGTACACTCGTCCCTTAATTGATTGACGGATATCTCGTCTTCGCCATAGGTCACGTAAGTTGGTAAAAGCCAAACGAGATTTTTGAATCCGTGCTGAGATTTCGTCACACACCAACCCATTAGGGCTGATCAGACTTCCAAGATAAGTGAAGTTGTCGACGCGTTCAACTACTTCACTCCCTATCCTTAGTTCAGGTGTTGACGCAGACCAGTCCTGGAGTAACAATTTTCATTTGGATGGGGAGAAACGCATCCCAAACATCCTGGCATTATTACTCAGTTCTAACAGAAGACTCTGCATTTTGCCAGCGTCTTCACCAAACAGGACTATGTCATCTGCGTATTCTAAGTCGATAAGTGAACCTCCTGGTAGAAGATCAATTCCTGAAAATTCAGTCGACGAGAGTTATTTCCAGCAACAGGTCTATAATGAAATTAAACAAAAATGGGGATAGTGGACAGCCTTGACGGACACCACTTGGGATTGCATGACAGTTCGCAGTAAGCTCTCACTCGACTGGTAGTATTCGAGTAAAGAGCCTTCACAAGGTTTATGTACTTCTCAGGTACACCTTTCAATGACAGACACTGCCATAGAACCTCTCGGTCTACAGAGTCAAATGCTGCTTTCAAGTCAAGAAAAACTATCATTGTCGGACGCCGATAAACATGTCTGTGCTCTAAAACTTGACGAATGGTGAATATGTGGTCGATACAGCCACGACCAGGTCTGAAGCCAACCTGATTTTCTCGTGTTTGCAGTTCACGAGTCTTAGTTAGGCGCCCGATAACTATTGAGGCTAGTATTTTAGATGCTATGTTAGTCAGACTTATCCTTCTATGGTTATCACAGGATGATTTTGAACCCTTCTTATATATTGGGACAATCAGAGATTATGACCAGTCAGATGGGATCACTTCCAAATCCCAGATTTTAGCCAGAATATTAGTCAACCTAATCGCTAAAATTGAACCACCATATTTAAAGACCTCTGGAGCCAATCCATCTGGACCAGCTACTCTTCCTCGTTTCAGATTACTTATAGCCTTTTGAACTTCAAGTAGGGTCGGAGGGCCTACTTCAATGTTCCATTCAGGTTTTCTAGGAATAGTGGGTAGTTGTGCAGTAGCTAAAGGCCAGCTAAACTGCTCCTTAAAGTGTTCCGCCCATCGTTCTAAACGTTTGGGTTGAGAGCAGATAGGGGTTCCGTCTTTTTCAGAGATTGTCTCACTTACACTTGACTTCTTAATTCCGGTTTCTTTTATTAGTCTGAATAGTTGCCTGGTGTTGCCTACAGCCACTGCCTTTTCCATCTCCTGCTTTCGTTGCCCATCACTGCTCACGATCGTTCCTTAGACTTTTAGTTAATCTAGATCTAATTTGTTTACGCTCTTCGTCATGTTCAGAGCCTGATGGGATGAGTTTACGCGAATCCATCAGTGAAATAGACTTAGAAGAAATCCACTGCTTTTTCAGAGCCCTATGGTTTAAATAACTAATAGATGCTACTGCTGTTTCCACAGCTGTTCGTGTGTCTTTCCAAGCAGCATCTGGGTCAGTCTCGTTTACAGAACTGCCTAGATGTGAACTCAGTTGTTTCTGGAATTCGCATTTGGCTTTCTCGTCCTCCAGTTCAATCCTAATCGGTCTTCTTAGTGTACTTTTCCTGCGTCCATTGGGGCGCAGACAAATGCGTGCTCGTATTAAAGCGTGATCAGAGTCTAAACAAGTATTCCAATACAAGCGACAATCTTCTATTGAGCCTCTCAAACGATAACTGATGACAATATGGTCTATTTGAGTGCATCGTTGGTTTGGTGCAGGTGGTCGCCATGTTAAACGATGTCTCTCCTTATGCTTAAAATTAGTGCTTGCTAAAAATAAACGATTGTCTGAGCATAGTTGCAACAGACGATCACCATTATCGGTTCGTTGAGCCGGAATAGTAAAACACCCACCTAAATGTCTTTCTGTTTGATTTAAGCTGCCTACTTGGGCATTAAAGTCACCCGCTACGACTACTATGTCTGAAGAAGCTCAGAGAGTTTTCTGTAAAAGTCATCTTTCACTTCATCATGGCTGCAGTCAGTGGGAGCGTAGGCAGAAACGACGAAAAGGCAACGACGTGTGTCTCTATCCTTCCGAGTTCTTACGGAGCCATTTAACCGGACAGCACTCAATCCAGATTGAGACTAAGGCATATTATAATAATTTCCGCCAACTGTATAATAAAAGCGCCGGTAACATTGACTGCAATAATCGCAGATGTTACTGAAGCTTCGGTTGTGCAGTGGTATGAATATTGTAGGGACATATCCATGATAAAAGTGATAAACTTATACAGCCGGAGTACACACAAACAATAACGAAGCTATGTGGTCGAGGCTGAAAGGGTTCTTATGACCTTATCATGGCCCCAGAGACCGACTATTATGGAGCCGTATGGATGAGTTCCTCTACCTTATGCATTACGATTTTGGAACCTTTGAACGTTTTTCTAACATTGACAAGTTTTTGGGCCATATAAAAGAAATGTATCCACTTTAATTATTTGGTTTTGTATAATATATTTTTACTCTGTGCTGTTTACTGATTGACTAACATTTCTCGAGGTCACTTAAGATTCGTCCAAAGGTCGTCCATAAATTATAGTCTCGCCAAGATAACACCTTAATTGTTCTGTGCAAATAATCGGTTTTTAAAATGATTAAAATCAATGGAAATATGTTTTATACAACGATTAATTAAATTTTAGATGATGTTCAAGCTAAATTACAAAACAGACCTGCTACTGAGTCAAACTGTTCGTTAGAGAACTTGATGTGTGTTATTATGCAATCAAGTCTTTAACGAATTTAGGCAGTATTTCCTTTCTTATTTCTTTAATACTTAGCCCTGAATTTCCCAATTTTGTAGACAAAAAGGTGGTTATGCAATGGATTATGACTGGTGTCAGTTGGTAATGAAAACTCCATGGGTAATAACCTTATCTCATAACACTAGCCCGTCTCCTAATATGTGTGTATATACGTAAGTCTCACCTTTTTCCTTGAATATACGGGATAATTTCCCATGTAAGGGTTAGTCATGCATATCAAAACTTTTATTCGAATATTATTTCATTACTTCATTCTTCTATGTGGTTTATAACGAGGTAGTGATTTTTCTTTGGCTGATAAGTCGCTCACGGTCACCGGTACATTATACTTCTACCCAATAGGGAAAGCAGGAGTTTACAGTTGATCGCAATATGAAGAGTTTGCGCAAAGTGAACGTGATAAAGTTTTTGAGAGGCGATGCAGTCCAAAATGAAACGCTTGTACGTGTATGTGTGGATGAAATGACAATGTACGTGTCAAGAATCATAAGATACTCCGATATAAGATAGGTTTAGGACGATAGAACTTCAAATGGTTCAAGTGGTTGTGGACGGAATAGAAGAAGCTTTCGCTTAACGGGCTTCCGTGTCTAGTAGCAGTGGATCACCAATACCTCCAGGTAAGAACTTAAGAATCGGGGTTGAAATATTACGTTTAGAATACCAGGATTCATTTATCTAGGTTTTGGAACAAATGGACAACCCAATGAAAAGTGACCAATAAATAACAGATAGGTTAATAGCTCTTTCTTGACAAAATATCCACAAACTTACCATTCACCACGACGATTTAGACCTTGAAAACAAAAATACCGCGGTTGGCTGCAAGCACTGAAGCTCAGATTCAGATTTGCGTAGTAAGGACAGAAAGTCCACGGCTTCTGTTATTCCTTTTCTAGCATGCTTCTTGAGTGTTCAGTCTTCTCTTGAATGAGTCAAATGAAGGTGTGAAAATCACGGCTTCAGGCAGCAGGCTCCAAGTATTGATAACTTAATTTGAAAGCCTGTATGCCACGGGTATTTTGTTCGTTCTTGGCTTTAGCATCCCCTTCTGTGTCTTCTGAGATGTCTCAATCTGGCGGGAAGTAAAAGATAGGATATATCAGGTCCAAAATCATTTCTTAGTATTCTGTACATCAAAATCAGATCACCTTTTAATCTGTGATAGAACAGAGTAAAAATGTCTAGATTTTCAAACCGCTCTTTGTATGATAAACCCGGGAGTTCTGGAATTGCATGGGCAGCTGCTTTTCGCACTTTTCTAAGATGTCCGAGTCACCATTTAAACAGGGGTTTGCATCTTGAATGCAGTTTAAAGCTTGCATACAGTATAAAAAGTGAAGGACCTAGAACGGAACCTCGAGGTACTCCACCAAGTACTGGTCTCCAGATGAGGCACTTCGAGTTTATTCTTGTCTTCTGTCTACGACCTACTAGGAAACCTTTAATCCATTTTAGATGTCCGACAATGCCCAGATTTTCTAGCTTTAAGAGCAGTCTATTTGTCGGCAGCTTCTCAAAAACCTTACTGAAGTCTATGTAGACAATACCCACTGAGTTTCTGTTGTCTAGAGCCTTTATTCATTGGTCCCTTGCTATGAGGAAGTGTGTTGTACAGGATAAAGCCTTTCTAAAACCATGTTGTTTGCTGTCTAACAGGTTATTGGTTTCCATAAATGTCATTATGGTCTGTTTGACTATTCTTTCCAATATTTTATCTACAACACTGATGAGGCTGACTGGTCTGTAGTTTGGTGGAAGTCGTCTTGGTCTCGTTTTATGTATGGGAGTAACGATTACATCCTTCCAGTCCGTGGGTAACACACCTTGGTCAAATGATACATAGAATATTACGGTCAATGGGACTACAATATATTGTGAAATATGGCTGAAGATTTTGGGGTGTAGTTCATCTGGTTCTGTTGACTTTCCTTTGTCTAAGGTGTTAAGAGCATCTTCTCGATTAAAGGCCACAGAGAGAAGGTGGTTTGTGGACTCTGTGTTTGGGTTCCGTTCTTTGTCGCAAAGATGTTTCTCAGTGGAAACTACCCCAAAATAGTCAGCCATAACCTCTGCCTTTTCCTCATCTTCATCTATCGTTTCAGATTCACTCTCTTCTTTAATTAGGTTGGGAATCCAATGGTGCACTCTGTTCTGTTGTTTATGTACGAGAATAGTCTCTTAGGCTTCCTGGCTACAGTTTGAGCTAACTGCAATTCATATTTTCTCTGAGCATCCCAGATTCTAATTATACACTTAATTATTACCGACCTGTAGCGTTCCATAATACATAGCTGATAGAAACATTCCAACATTTCTTCTCGCATCTTAGTAAACGTCGAATATCCACGCTTATCCAGCGATGGCCGTACTTCCTCTTCTTTCGTACTGTTCAGTGTATGTATGGTTGAGTTGCCCGATTATGTGACTACTTGAAATGAGTCCATGCCCCTTGTACTGACACACTTGACGCAATTTCTCATTTTCTTAGCCGATACTGAGTCGATTGACCCTATATCTGCCTTCCATATATAAGGACGGGCCGGAGCATGCGTTCGACAGGCAATCTCATCCATGAATTCAAACAATATGACTGCCTGGTCACTTCTCCCTAGTGGTGGGAGGAAAGTCATTTGACCAACGTCATCACCGTGTGTGAAGACTAAATTCAAAAGAGAAGAGGAGTTTCCGAACTCATAGTTTCTTTCTTAGTTTCTTCCTTTCCTTCTTCAAAATCAATTCAAAATTCTTGCCAACTACACAGAATCTGATTTATTATTATTATTCTATTATTAATATTTTATTTTTCCTTCCTTTCTCAAACATGACAAATGTAATGCTAACATCATTGACAATTATATATTATCGCATTTTTGAAGCAACCCGAAATGGTTTCTTCAAAACACTTATGTACCCATACGATGTTTGTGAATAATAATATCTTATGGGATTTCTAATGTGTTGGAATAAAGCTAATTCAATCAAGGTTTCTAACAGTTTGCCATTGAATGACGTTATCGATGACACTACTTCTAATTTACCCAGTTTATACAAGGTGTATTATAGTCGCCTACCACACGGCTTTTACTCTTAGTACAACAGGACTCAAGTTTGTTTACGAGGAAGTCATCTACTACACATTCTAGACCGTCATGTGCTACAACTAATTCAATATCTTGTCGTCTACACTTCAACCTGAAAAGCACCAGTTCACATGTCCCTGAATAATGTGCTACTGTCTCAATTGCTCGCATGGTTGTGTAGTTTTCTTGTACTGAATACCTCCACCTCCCCTACAGTTCAATCCATCAAACCTACTGGATGTGAAACTAGTCAACTTAATTTCATTATCCAACAATTGTGGTGTCAACCATATTTCTGAGACAGCAATGACATCCGGATTTTCCATGTCCACCACTATCTCGAGCTCCGCCATTTTATTTTGTAGGCTGTGAGCATTTCTGTGGCATACATTTAATTCCGTGTTGAACTTCCCCTTATCACCCACAGTGGTTTGGGGATCGTTTCGATCCGAAATTTTACAATGTGAGAACTTCTAACTACAGGGTCTCTTTCACCGTTTTCTCGGCACTCATTTATTTCCACTTCTGCAGATCATCTCTTAATGCGGCCGACCAGGCTGAAATCCTCACGGACGTGTATTCCGGATCCAATCAGTTCACGTGAGTTTCTCAGTATTAGGTTTCTTCCTTCAGCCGAAGTAAAGGTAACCCTCAAGAGGCGGCTTTTCTGGGTAACTTCAGAATCCACCGTCTGTCCTATTCTATAAAGCTTACAGATGCTAACTCCGAAAACTATTTCTGAGAGTGGCTTGCTTATTAAAGATTTAATATGACTGAGGTCGTGCTCAAATTTAACCTTCGATTCCTTTTCAGAAAATTCTCCTAACTTATGAAAAATGACTGACCTATCAGTGAGGTTTGTTTTGACACACTGTGGAATTTTAGTTCCTGAAACCGTTTTTTCCTTGCAATCCGATTTCAGTTGCTCGTCAAACGCAGGGGTATGTTCTATTTCCTTAATTTTCTTTTCCTAGGTGTGACTGTGAGCCACGCATTTACCTTATTATGTCTTTTGATCACTTCCTCTGCACTGCTCAGACTTGGCTCCGCTATGGTTTACATTGCATTGGTATGTGAATCCTGAACTGAGCCCACGGATTCGTATGCCTCAGTACTGTCAATAGGTAGTTTCTTCTCAGTGCGCTTATTCTTTCTCCTTGTAACAATGCTTACATTCACATGCTTATCTGTCTCCTTGATGAGGTCCACCAGTCTCGCTCGCTTTTCGAAAGGGAAGTCTAGTCCTAACGTGATTTGCATTTCCCAAACTTTTCTGTGTTCTTATGCAAAGAAAGCGCCATTTCTGATCTAAAGAATCTATTCTCAGCTACAGGTTTGGTAGATTTTTTCGAGTTTCACCCAACTTAATAGTTAACGGTGGTCTTGCCTTAGCTTAGTCTTCAGTTTTTTTTTCAATTTTTCACGTAAAAGCTAGTTTCAGCTTGTCATAACCCGTTTTTGTCCACTTTTGCCCGTTTTAGTATGCTGTGTTTCTTTTAACGGTCTTGAGCTTTCTGCTTTTATCTATGAAACAGTTTACGTCAATATAGTCATGGAAAATTCATACACACGACCTGGATATCGTTTTGCTGTCACATCTTGCACGCAAAGGTTGGTTCCACGAAGCGTGCACAGATCTCACAGCAGCTGCCTATATCAGACTCAGCTAGTCGGAACTTAGGTGGGTATGTGTCATATGCAACGCGGACGCTGTAGTTTCGCTGCGTGACATAATTGCCCTCGTGACAGGTCTGCGGAACAAGTTGTCTGGAAACTTGGTAAATGAAAGTCATAAAACGGGTAATAATAATAATATATTTTGAAAGTAATATTTACAGAATTCACACCAGTTTACAGGCATGATCAGATTGTTATAAAAATCAACATTTAATGTAGGTAACAAACATGAAATATAAGAAAGTTTTATGTTTTCTGGTTTACTAATTGATAAATAGTTTGAATATGGCATATATCACGGCAAGCCAATGCAACACCAGGGAACTTGTCATTTTTTTATTAAGTGGATAGCCTGATGATTGATCAACATTATTCTGTAAGGTTATTTCCAGTGCCAGAGCGAGTTATTATTAATTATCTACAACTAGAGAAAGTAAGATTAAAGCAAAGAGCACGGAACAACAAAACAATGATAACAAGTAAGTGGTTAAACATTTAAAGTTCCTATAATCTCACTTGTGGAGTAAGATACACTTGCAGGCGCTAGAGCATTTAATGCATTTTCAGAGGAGCAAAAGGCATTAATTGAGCGAACAAACAATGGGAGAGAGTTTAACATACGGATAGTTTGAGGTAAATTATTCCAGAGCCTAGAAAACTTACAGGTAAAGTAATTCATATAGAGAGAAGATCTAGAATATGTTTGTTTCGCTAAAGTCAAGGAGTTACGAATGTCGCAATGTGAAGCTTCAGCATAATGAATCGCCTGGTTGGATGCGAAGGATAGTTTG